CCCCCCCCCCCCCCCCCCAATTATCGCGTCTAGTTATGGCCCTGCACCAAGATCAATAGCAACAGTGACGTAATTTCCGGAATCGTTTAGACTGCGTGTGTTGTACAACTAATGTACATTGAATAGTGTTCTTTAATGGTTTAGGTACATAATCATGGCTGAAGATAGAAGTTAAAACATCTTAATCTTCTCATTCTTCAAGATTTGGTACTTATCAATCCAGGGCTCAAAAAAGGATTTCCAAACATTTTGAGCAACTATACAGCACTGTACCTCTCTGCAATCCAGCAAAAATTCGATCAAATAGGGAATTGATATTAAGATCAGGACTATCTAATTTTATTGAAACTCTTTCTGGGATCCATCCAGTTAATGCATGAAGGTCAATATTCTACAACGTACAAAATATTATGTATCAGTACTGCAACAACACAAGTAGTTAACAGAATATTTACTAGACTTACATGCACAGTACGGAAACAAACTCTAAAATCCTGTGTAACCGTAAACCGGTAAAACGAGAGCTTCAAATTTTACTGTGAATACAGCTAAGACTACAAGATTCGGTTATCACCGCCTTGTTGCACGTGAACACAACAGCGAAATATTGGGTGACTAAACATGGTGTCGTGTCTTTGACAATTTATGCTCATGTTACGGTTTGAAAATACTGTGCAATATATATAGTACCCAACATTAAAATGGTATACTCATTTACTTACTGAATTTGAGCCTGGAAAATCATAGCCTCCCATTACCTGAAGAAACATTTTACACTTTGAGCTATTCCCTACACAACCGCACATACTGTAAAGCCTGGTTCACACGATGAAATAAGCATAAGCACAAGCAGCGGAACCTTTGATGTAAGCATAAACATAAGAAGAACAAATTTTGCGTTCTTCTTATGCTTACATCGAAGGTTCCGCTTGCTTATGCTTATGCTTATTTCATCGTGTGAACCAGGCTGAAGTGTTTCTGATAGAAAATACACTGATATGTTTTCCAACAAGCAACTGATCAAAGTCGCACGTTTGAACTTTTTAAGAAAAACAGCGAGGAGCTTCCACCTCAAAGAAATCTTTTCATATACCTTGAGATACGCTTTTTCAATAAGGCTGACCCACATTTCATTTCTGTTCATAGAATAAGAACATAGCAGTTGACCATCTTGACCTAATGGTAATTTATCATCAATAATAACCTACGAGAAAACTAGAATGTCAAATTAAACAGTAGTGCAAGGCGAGGCATTCACGCAGGCCCGTAACATCCACGTGAACCGGCATCAACAAAACCCGGATCGGAACGGATTGACAAAACCCGGATCGGAACGGATTGACAAAACCCGGATCGGAACGGATTGACAAAATCCGGATCGGAACGGATTGACCGCAAAACCCGGATTAAACTAAAGACCTTTGTTTTGATCCGTATGTTTGCTTATATGTTGGGTATTTAGGGAAGAGTATCGATTTTGTCCATAAAAAGTCATATGGACGTTTCTCTAGAGAGCCCTCCCCCCTAAAAAGGTTACCCATAGTTATCGGTATTTTGTTCTTATCGTGCACATAAGGTAACTTTCTACGCCGGGTCGGCTATTGGCGATGCTTGCCAGCCCGAGGAATAATATGTCATCTTCTGCTGACATATGTTTTTTTATTAATATTATATGCACTTCAAAATAACCAACGTTTCTTAAAACAATTTTAGCGCGTTTTTCTTGAAATTTGAGTGTTTTCAATGCAAGGAAGCCGTAATAATATAAATGTCTAGAACAGGTAAACTATTACGAATGTATATACTGGTGTTTGTACCATGTTGTTTTCTTTTATATATTGTGCAAAGATGATTTCGAAATGTTAAGGTCTTCGAAAAAACTGTCGAATTTTTCCACGATGTTTTACAGAGATTTATTAAATTACAGGCACAAAATTACAGTACAGTACTAAGTAAAGAATATCAACTCAATTTAACATGTGTGCTGTTTGTCCCAGATAGGGCCGATTACACAGGAGCCGGGGGTAATATAAAATGAATTTTACGATTACATGGAAAAAAATTCAACCTGGGCTGAATTTCAGCCCGGGTTGAAATTTTCATCCTAGTGTATGTCACCCAGGATGAGATTTTCAGCCCTGTCAAACGGGATGAAATATCCCATGCAATCGCAAATAAATTCAAACTCGTTTAAATGGCTTTGTTTTGCGTTTTAATTGTCTCATCTTTAATATTCTATATGCAACCACACTTACACAAGTCATTTCAAATTTTTGTCAATCCGTTCCACTGATCCGTTCCGATCCGGGTTTTGTCAATCCGTTCCGATCCGGGTTTTGTCAATCCGTTCCAATCCGTTCCGATCCGGGTTTTGTTGATGCCGCACATGAACGTCAAGTCGAGTCATCAGTAAAATAGTCGAATCCGATGCAGAGGCTGCACAATCATACTTGTGCTGAAAACTAAAATATTTTTGTGTTTCCCAATATTATCAGCCGGCACCCGGCGATTTTCGCTGTCTATAGACAATCGCTGCGGTTATTTCTTGAAATTATAAGCCAAAATATTTCTTCCTAACAACAGAAATGTCAATCTTATATACTTATAAATTTAAAGTAAATAACGGACACTGTAAGTAAATAGAGCAAATACTATATTCATATCTTAATTATTAAGATACTGTACCTTTCGAGAAACACCATTCACCCACAACTTTATCATGTACTTTCCAGATGGATTTATGACTGGCTCTCCATTTCTGTTTTGTGGATATATAATCCTAAAAGTCATCATATATAAGTGTTATATTAAAATGTAACCAGCACGTTCATTTCTTCAAAAAAAATTAAAAGCATCTTACTTGGTAATTACACGTTTACGGAATTTTCGTTCGTACGCGGCAGAAATGGCTAATGATGCAACGAAAGAGCAGTCTGTAACGACAGTCTAAAACAAATAAAATAATTGTGGCTTGCATGGACAACTATAATATCCTAAATATACTAGATAATGTCATAGAAATATGTCATAATAATAAAAATTTAACAAAACAAATGAGTGTAACATGCATATCACATGTACTGCAGTATAGGTAAGAACATTTGATTGATGTGTGACACAATCGATATTAGGCTTTCAAGGGTGTTATATTTTCAAAATGATTCTTTCAATGTAATTTACGGCATGCAACTGGCAACGCTAGCTGACCATCATCAGTTAAAAGTCAACACACTGAACACGTTCCAGAGCAAAGTGAAATATTCTATTTAGGAAAATTCATGCCAAATTTGATCAAAGTTCTAAATATTGTCAACAAATGCACAAAATGCCTTTCGTTAATGCCAAAAAGGCAAATTTAGACAATAATGACAAAGTGTTACTAGATTCAATATAAATTGGTCGTTTTAGCACTATCCTGACATTTACATACAATGCAAAATAAATAGTTTACAGTCACCCAAAGCATTGACATAAAATCTATAACTTTTTTAATTTTGGCACTGCACTTGCAGCGCCAACTCGAAGCATTGACATAAAATCTATAACATATTGACACTGTAATTGCAGCGCCAACTCAAGGGATTGACATCCAATTTATAATTTATTGGCACTGCAATTGCAGCGCCAACTCGAAAGCATTTGCATAAAATCTATAACTTATTGGCGCTGCAATTGCAGCGCCAACTAAAGGCATTGACATATGATCTATAACGTAATGACACTGCAATTGCAGCGCCAACTAAAGGCATTGACATATGATCTATAACGTAATGGCACTGCAATTGCAGCGCCAACTAAAGGCATTAACATATGATCTATAACTTATTCGCACTGCAATTGCAGCGCCAACTCAAGACATTGCCATTGATATAAAATCTATAAGTTAATGGTGCTGCAGTGCCAAGACTAGGTGGAAGAAGATATGCTTTTGAGCAACATTTATGGTAAAATGAAGACATCCTACAGTGTGATGGGGCAAAATCCCCATTTTATTCATTGACAGTAGTCAATGGTGATCAGGCCTTAAAATATCGGTCGGTCACGGACATTGTCCGACCCATTCGTGAAATTGTCCGACGTAGAGAGAAAACCACCGAACATTCTGTCCGACCAAAGTGAAACTGTCCGACCCAAGTGTACTTGTGTCCGACCGAACTGTAGGTTTGTCCAACGTAAATGTACCCTAGCCCAGGACTAGAGGCTTGTATGTTAAATGGAAAATCGGAGTACTATTGTGTAAAAGGTGAACTGGAAATGTTGTTTTAACGTAGTCGAGCGCGGGGCGACGAGCGAAATGGTAAAGTGGAAAACAGGCTTAAGTTGTCGAAGTCTTTTTTAACATTCTTTCTAGTCTGTTCTGGAAAGCAAGTTAATTTTGGCTTGGAAATAAGTATGAAAGAAACAATCAAACAAATTATTTAATATCTTCACAACATTTACCGTTCAGAATTAATACATTGTGCTGATATTCATTTGTGTCACTTATTTCCGAGTCAAAACTGAACTGAAGGTCATCGGACATATGTCCGACCCAAACTCGATATCATCGGCCCTATAAAAGATATTTTAAGGCCTGGTGGTGATTCAGAGATTAAATTCACTACATCAGTACATGTCTTTCAATAACAATATGATACGCAGTATACAGAAACCATGCATTCAGTTATCAACTATCAAGTATTTTGAAATTTTGAGGCCTAGTGTTCAAACAAATTCTGCGATTAGTTTAAAGCTTTCCTAAATGTTCAAATCAGTTGATTGTATAATAGTTACTTAGTAGAAAACAGTTATAATAACTCCTTGACATAAATTGACACATTTGGCATTTGGTCTGTGGGCAAAACTTTGAGTACTGTAATTCAAAAGCGGCAAGATAAACACATTCTTTAGATAGTTCATCGGTCCATATTGTGCTATCATATGGACCATGGTGTTTTTTATTCCATTTTCGAATTTTTTTCACAACTATTCCCAAATGGAAACCATTGTTGTATCATAACTCTGCGAAGACAATTTATTTAGTAGGGTAGACAGTACCTGCCGAATACTCAAACTTGATACTGCATATATCATCTTTGGATCATCAGTAAGGTCACTTGGTCTGAAAGAAAGAGTGCCAATATAAAAACAGTAATCTGTATTTAAAATACTCATTAATAATTCATAAAAAAATAAATGGTTAAATAAAAATAAATAAATGTTTAATCAATGTTTGTTGTGATGTACTTGATGTAAGAACTTTAGATTGAACTCGGCCCAGGTCTCCATGTGGGCATATAAAACGCGGACACATTTGTTTTGGCGGCCATATTTGAACTTAGAGCTGGAGTAAACTTAGTAATTTTTGAACTTAGAGCTGGAGTAAACTTAGAGCTGGAGTAAACAAGTTATTTGGAGAGGAACACAATTTATTTAAATAACATTTGGAGTGGAGTAAAGCCTTAGATGTATGTATTCTGTTGTATTTGTTCGTCAGTTGTCCATTTATTTGTTTAAATATTTGTAATTTGTGTACGATATTTGTTCCGTTTATTTGTATAGTTTTCACCGTGGTTGTACGAATTAAAAGTTGTTTTTTTATTTCGTGTTCAATTCCTTAATTGACACTTTGTTCCCCTCCCTGGGACACAACAGTGAAAAATCTGGTTTATTCGGAGAGATTCACTGGTCATATCCTACGAAGTCGTGGACTTACAAAATGGCGGAATATGATGGAAACAGCCTATCTAGCCCAGTCGTTTCCGAACATGGAGAAAAGCGTACAAGAACGTTTACACATAAAGGTTTCCAGAACACGCTTATAAACCAGACAAAAACATTTAACAAACAAACGAAAGTATTACGGGTTGCGATTGACCTGGTATACAAAGAGATAGAGGAGAATTCAGCGATAAAGGAAGCCCTAGACTCGCTCGAAAAAGAGAGACGAATGCTCGTAAATTCTGTTAAAAGTCTTGAAGAACTCTTTGCACAGGACAAGTGGGGTGAAACAACCGACGTGGAACCAACCATCAGAAAAGCCTTCGAAAGTTTCCTACACGCAGCTGAGGTCGTTTCGCAAGAGGCAGGAAAGAAACTTGACAATAATAAAAGCAGAGTCGCGAACACGTCCTCCGTAAGGTCCAGAAAGAAGAATAGCAATGGCGGAAGCAGCTGCCGCGAAAGAGCAAGCGGAGTACGACAGATTAATTGCTCAAATGGAGAAAGATCGAAAACAACGCGAAGCCCAAGAGGTGCTAGAGAGATCAGCAGCACAAGCCCGACATGAACACGATATAGCAGTTCTTGCAGCCTGGAAATTGGAAGCAGTAGCTCAAGCGAAGCTCGAAGCCATTGAAAGATCCATAATCCAGGAGGAAGACGATTCGTATTCTGGTAAATCAAGTCGGAAAGCCAGCGTAGAACCTTTGGAACGCACCAAAGCTTGGGTAGAGAGCCAACCTCCCTTTGAAGGTGATGTGGTGTGAAAGATTAAACGAGAAGTTAACGATGAGTTCAATCAGACTTTACCCCATCCCATCGGACACCGATCGGAAAGCCACCATATATATGAAACACAAGAACCTAGTCGCGTAGTTCAACAATGTATGGGAGCGATAGCTACGACCAACGAGAAGCTAACTGCAAGTCTGGCAAAGTTGAGTTTGCCGAAATGTCACCCAGATGTATTTTGTGGAGACGCTACGATGTTCCATCCTTGGAAAAGCGCATTTAAAGGAATGGCAGAAAGTTGCAACGTCACCCCAGAGAACGAAATGAACTATTTATGCATGTATACAACCGGCGAGCCACGAAAGTTGGTGAACAGTTATCGGAAAAGACGTCATAAAGACCTTGAGAAACTGTTGATGGAACTATGGATGGAATTGGAAAAGCGTTTCGGCAACGTCGCAGTAATTACAAACGCATTTCTTACAAGACTTCGAGAATCAGCCAGATTTGGAGAATATGATAAGAAGAAACTCCAAGCGTTCTCAGATCTGTGCTCGGACGTGGTTTCGCAAGTCAGTCAACTTCCTGGCTTAGCATGCCTCAACTATCCAAACGCCATTCGACCCATCCTCTATAACTTACCAGAATCCCTTCGCAACAGATGGGAAGAAGAAGAAGAAGAATTTTATTCGCACCAGTCAAAAATACATAATTACAATTTTTTTTCCACACATTATTAAAACAGAGTTGGCACAGGATATCTGAAATAGCTTTAACACTAATCGAAGTCAGATAACCTTATTAAAGTATTCGAGCCACTGTGGCATCAACATTGGTTTAAGGTCATGGTGCACAATGATTATACAGATGCAAATTAAAATTTATAGACATATGCAAAAACAAAAGCAAGCATAAAGCCAGTAATCATTAATTATTAATTTGATTTTAGTTAATTTGAAAGCAAATGAAAACAGAAATAAGAATAAAGATAAAGCTAGTATTCATTAATAAATTTGATTTTAATTTTTTTTTGAAGACTGATTTAGTTAGTATTTTCAAGCTATCATCTATATCATTCCAAATATAGGGTCCCTGTGATCGGATAGAAAATTTACCGTAATTTGTTCTTACAATTGGTATACAATAACTAATTGTTGTTGCTAGTCTAGTACTGTACTTGTGTTTATCACTAACGAAAAAGAAATAATCGTTAAAGACAGTAGGGAGTCTATTTGTATAGAAATCGTGCATAAATAATAAGTTGGACATCTTTATTATATCAAACAGCTTTAAAAGACCGAGATTTTTAAATAAAGGACTGGTATGTTCATCATATCTTGAGAAAGTGATTATACGTACTACTCGTTTCTGTAAGAACACTAATGATTTCAAGGAAGATTCGTAGGTGTTTCCCCAAACTATGGTTCCATACGTAAGAAAAGGGTATATCAAAGAATAATAAAGCTGAAGAAGAATGTTAAATGTAACATAATATCGTAATTTTGAAAGAATGCCAATGCTCCTCTGAATTTTTTTTGAAATATTATGAATTTGAGTTTTCCAATTTAAGTGGCAGTCAATATAGATACCTAGGTATTTAACATAGCTTGTTTGTTTATATGGAGTCACAATTGATATAAAGTTTAAGATCATGGGTAATTACTTTTTGAGGCGTACGGAATATAACGTAATTTGTTTTATCAGTATTCAAACATAGTTTATTTGCAGACAGCCAAGAATGTACCTTAATCAAATTGTGATTTATCAGCTCCTCCAGCCTCAATATACTATCATGCGAAAAAAATAGATTGGCATCATCAGCAAACATATGAAAGTCAAAAAGGTCAGAGCAATTTTCAAAGTCATTAATATATAAAAGGAATAATAACGGTCCTAAAACAGAACCTTGAGGTACTCCACAGGAAACATGCAATTCATCTGAACTAATACCCCTTATTGAAACATACTGCTTTCTATTTAACAAATATGATTTAAACCAATCTTTAGCTATGCCCCGAATTCCGTAGTGCTCTAGTTTTGTAATCAGTATATCATGATTTACAGTGTCGAAGGCCTTACTTAAATCTAAAAATATTCCACAAGAGTATTGTTTATTTTCGACTGCTTTTTGGATTTTATCAGTAATAAGTGTTACTGCTTGTACACTGGAGTATCCCGACCTAAATCCGAATTGGTTTTCAGATATTATATTCATTTTCTCAACATACTTCATCAACCACCCATACATTAGTTTTTCCAATATTCTATTAAATATAGACAATAAAGAAATTGGTCGATAATTATTAACATAGATTGCAGAACCATTTTTAAATACTGGCACTATCTGAGCAATCTTAAATTTATCTGGGACAACACCAGTGCTAAAGGAACAATTATACAAAATCTCTAATGGTTCAGATATATTGCAATATAAAATTTTTAGCAGCTTTGTTGGAATACTAAAAGGCCACTTGTTTTTGATATATTGAGTTTGGCAATTTCCAGTTGAATCTCATTTGCAGTGACTGGTGAGAGAAAAAAGCTAGTTGGTATTGAACAATCCATGTATTCAAGGGGTGAAATATCGTTAGAACTAATTGAGTCAACAATTCTTGAACCAATTGAAGAAAAGTATTTGTTAAATGTTTCAGCAATTGCTTTAGTATCTGTGATTTCGATATTATTCTCAACTATTTTACTTTGTATTCCCTGAGTGCTCTTTGTTTTTGGATTAACTATGTCCCTAATTCCAGTCCATATTTTTTTTTAAATTAGAAGAGTTTTCTTTAAAAAAATTTTGGTAATAATTTTTCTTGCTCAATTTTATAAGTTTGCCAAGTTTATTGCTATATCTTCGGTATTCCAAAATTAGAAATTCATTATTACTTCCTAACTGTTTCCTATATAGTCGATTTTTTTGTTTAATAGACACTTTTATTGCTGAAGTGATCCATGGTTTAAGGCTAAAACTGACATATTGTCTTGATAATTTCTTAAGTGGTGCATGATTTTCAATCACCTCTGAAATCTTGCAGTAAAAGCTGTTAAAAATATCATTCACATTATTATTTTGTGGTAACGTTACATTCCAATCAATTGAAGAAACTTCATAATCAAAGAAGCCTCATCAAAATTAGCATAGTCTCTCTTAAAAATATTTGTTTTAGAAATTTTACTTATGTTTTTATGAATTATAAGGAAATTTGGTAAATGGTCAGTTAAATCTGAAAATATATTTCCACTTATAGTATGACAGCCTAATGAATTTATAAAGATATTATCAA